TTTAATCTTTTCCTGATATTCTTTAAACAATTTTGAAATATCACTTTTAATCGTATCAGCTGTTAGCATACATATTTCTGAATTACAAAAATTTAATAAATCTTGAAATTCAGGACATTCAATTATTGTAAATGGTTGATCATCAACAGCAATCCATATAGCTAACTTTTCACGAAAAGTTTTATTGGAAAATACCTATAAAATATTTAAAAAGTAAAATTTAATTCTTTAAAAAATAATTAAATAAATTTAATATAACTTACATTTTTTGACTTATCATCATTTAAAAATTTAATCATAAAGTTTGCTTGCTTTATAGTTGAATCTTTTGTTTTATCCGGATGTAATTTAAGATGTTTTTTCAAATTTCCAGTTGATGAATTTGAGCTACTCATGTTATATGTACCTTTATCACAATATTTGCATTTAGCCCGTAAAATGTTATTATCATCCTTAAATTTATCAAAATGCTTCCAAACATCACTTCCATTTTCTTTGGATAAACTTGAAGTAGAATTTGAATTATTTCCTAAATCTAATTCTATTATTTCTTCAATTTGTTTACATTTTTCAGACATGATTAAAAGTTAAAGAAAAATATTAAGTAAAAGAAAATAGAAAATTAGAAAGAGAGAAGTTTATTCAACTTGCTGATCAAAATCAAATTAAATTAAGGAAAATTACATAAATTTTATGTAAATAAGTTATATTCATTTTTTTTATAATTAAAAATTCCCGTTTAATTTTATTTATTTGTATAAACTAATAATCACATAAGCTATGTGACGGGCTTCTGTAAACCATCATTAAACCAAATAAATAAAAATTTTATCTTATTTAGTTAAGATTATTAATTATGCATATCAAATGATGTAATATCAATTTATGTATGTCGATCATATTCATTATAAAAAAAAAAGGAAAAAAAAAATATTTTTTGTGATCTCCATTCTTAATTTTTTTAAAAAAATGAATAACTTACCTTCGATTTGTAGGATTCTAGGATTCCGGCATCTACAAGTAAAATTTTTTAATTTTTAAAATTTTTTTTTTAAAGAAAAAATAAATACTTACCTTCGTTCGAATTCGTAGGATTCGTTTTCATAGGCCTTCGGCATCTACAAAAAAAGTAGTAAATTTTAATTTTAATTTTAATTTTTTTTTTAAATTCAAAGAAAAAAAATAACGAATAGCTTACCTTTATTCAATTCGTAGAATTACAGGATTCCAGAGGGCTTCGGCATCTACAAAAAAGGTAAGAAAATTTTAATTTAATTTTAGTTTGTTTTAAATTCAAAGAAAAATAACGAATAACTTACCTTCGTTCGATTCGTTGGATTCCAGGATTCTGAAGGGCTTCAGCATCTACAAAAAGAGGTAAGTAAACATAAAATTTTTAATTTTTTTTGTTTTAAATTCAAAGGAAAAAAAATAAATTACCTACATTCGTTTGATTTATAGGATTTCAGGATTCCAGAGAGCTTTGGCACTACAAAAGAGATAAGTAAAAATTTTTAATTTTTATTTTAATTTTTTTTTTAAATTATAATCAAGTTTTTTTTTTCTTTTCTTTAAAGAAGTTATCTTTTTTTTTTATTTCTTAACTTTGGAGAAGTATTTCAAAAAGGATTGTATTTTTATTTTTTATTTTAATTGAAATTCTACTTTTAAAAAAAATCAAAACCAAATTAATTATATTTACTTTTATAGCTGGTATTTCTGTAAATGCATGCAGTAAAAACAAAGATAGATATGTATTATTGTTTTAATTTATTTTTTGTATCAAGTTAAAACAATCAAAATTAATGAGTATTATTATATGCATATATGCATGCATAATTTTGTTACAGATATTTGAAACTAGCGTAATAATAATTAAATATAAAAATCATTTTTTTTTTAAAAAAAAAATTCTCCTCCAAAAAATTCTCTTTTTGAAAAATTTTTTTATTATAAACCAATTTTTGATTTTTACTTTTTAAATTTTTTATTTAAACTTTTCACAATGTCATTATTCAAAAATTTATCAGAATAAATTTGTAATATTTTAAATAGCTTTAGTCATGAAAGTCGTATGGTTATGTTTAGAAATACAAAAAGATTTGAAGAATGGTTGGTTCGCCAACAAGTTATTGACAAACTAAGCAATTAAAATTCTTTAAGTAAAATAATTGAACAAGACTCGTCATCAAATCTCCAATTTGAAAAATCAATGTCAGAACGTGAAGAACCAGTGTGTTCAATTTCCTAAGTTATAGGAATATACTTCAGAATATATAGATTAATTAATTAAGTTATAAATCATATGATTTATGATATAATTTTATATCTATATGGCTTTGGGTCATCATATTTCCTCCCACATATTCTAGCATATGCTAACTTAGGTTTTATTAGGATTTTATTATTGAATTTTTAAATTATAGTTTTTTATTAATTAATTAA